AACTATTAGCTGCAATGTGGAATTGCAGTCATATTGGTAAATGTTTTGTGTTTTGTAACTTGTGAGAGAATAGACTTTGAAAGGCAAATAACATCTCAGTATCATTTTTTAAAATATGTAAATGTTAGGGGTGGGGCTGGGGCTCAACAGTAAAGCGCTTGCCTAGCACGTGCAAGGCCCTGGATTTGATCCTCAGCATCACATAAAAATTAATTAATTAATTAATTAAAGGTATCATGTCCAACTACATCTAAAAAATTTTAAAATGTTTATTTTTAGTTATAATTGGACACGATACCTTTATTTGATTTTTACATGGTGCTAAGTATCGAACCCATAGCCTCATGCATGCTAGGAAAGTGCTCTACCTCTGAGCCACAACCCCAGCCCATGTTAGTATCATCTTGAAAATAGTTTTGATTTTGCAGATCCCCTGAAATGACCTTGATACTCCCCAGGTCCCCAGAACACAATTTGAGAATCACTGGCTTTAGTTGCATGCGATGTTGAGCCAGTCACTGACAAAAAGAACAAGAGAAAGTTCTCACCCTTTTGAAGGGGAATCCATTTGGCTATTTGATTTGAGAATGTTTTCCCAACTCAGGGTGATCAGATGCTGATCAACCACTTGGGACTCGGGAGTCTGTTGTTAACCTCTTCTCTGCCTTGTGTACCACTGTGAGGCTAGGACTTGGAGACAAGAGAAAAAGGACTCACCCACAGGGTAGTGAGCCAAGTGTTAAAGAACACGGAGTCTGCTGTGACAACAGGGGCCTGTCACAGAGTCACACACCAGTGCCACTGAGGCCTGGTCACTGAACATGGCCTTGCTCGTGCTCTTGGATTTCTGTAGCCGCAGTGAAGGAAAAGCCAATGCCAGCAGGCTAGTCCTCCAGACGCAGAGGCAGTTAGCTTCACCTGATAGGCGTTCCCATGGGAGTGAGACCTGGGAAAGGTGGCAAAGATGGAGGGTCTTTCCAGTCACCACCAATGGACATTCTTGATTCCGAAAGGACCCAAAGTAGTTGGACCACTGTAGAGGAAGCGCTCAGATAACCATCTTTGATGTGAAGTGGAAGCAGTAATGTTTCCACTTCATTTTATTTGAAAAAGTAAATTTATTTGAGAAAAGATGAATGGTTCTATCAAATGGGGATTATTTTGCAGGTGATGAGAACAGGCATCAGGAAAGGGGCTATGTTCCTCTCCAGAGGGAAAGAGAGAGAGAAAGAGAGAGAGAGAGAGAGAGAGAGAGAGAGAGAGAGAGAGAGAGAGAGAGAGAGGGCCTCCATCTGCCAGTGATGTTTTCCTGTGCTGATAAGGACCTGGATAAAATCTACAAATCCTGCTTCTCATTCTTTGAATCTACCAGAAGTTCTCCAGTTTTACAGGGTTAAATGGAATAGAGGGAATGAAGAGAACACGTGGGAGAGAGGGCTGAGAACTTAAGAGGCGGATTCTTTGCGCAGACCCACAGGTGCACAGGGAGCTTACACTCTGGAGTGGTCCAGGAAGACAGGGAGAACAGGTGAACAAGCACACGGGGGGACAAGTAACGATGAAACGAGAAAGTGTAGTGGAGAAAGTGTGCCAGAGATTGACAGTGAAGGGAGGCTCAGAACCTTCTCAGAAAAGCCTAGGTTGGGCACAGCTGAGAGCAGCCAGGGTCTACCCTCTGCATAAGGCACAGCTGTACTCTGGTGGCTCAAGTAGTTTTGTGCTTGCGGTGATAACACCTTCCCTATGTTTAAATGAAGTTCTTTCTGAGACTCTCTTTCTGAGTTTGGCTCAGCTGAGGTTAGGAAAGAAACATCAAAACACAACAGCAGCAATGGTTACTGAGTACCTACCAGGTATCAGGGTCTTTGACCTCCCTCACCTTTTCATTATAGGTGGAAAGAGAAGCAGGGCATCTGACAGGGATGGTCCTTGGTAGAAGCAAGGGAAGATGGACAACACCAGAGACTAAATGGCTTCCAACTATACACATGTAGGAGCTTACAGCTCTGTAACCCAAATGTGCGAGAGGGGTAAAATCTAAGTGTCAGCAGAGCTGCCTTCCTTCCTGAGGCTCTAGGGAAGAATAGTTGCCCTTCCTAACTTGTAGAAGCCATTCACCAAGGAATGCATGAAGAAGACTCTCAGCCCCTTTCTCTACCTTTAGGACCAGCAACATTGCAACCCCTGTGCCTTTCTAAGTCACCCTATAACTTCCTACTGTTCCGCCTTCCTTCAGGACCCTTATTATTACACCAGGCCCAGCCAGATAATCCAGAATAATCTCCTTGTTTTAAGGTCAGCCAATTAGCAAACTTAATTTCATTTACAACTTTATTTTGTCATGTAACCTACCACATGCACAGTTCTGAAGATTAGGATAAGGACATGTTGGGATGGCCATTATTCTGCCTACCAAGACACATTGAAAAGTGAGAAGAGTCAAAAGCACTTTTCCCTCCTGGAGTTGTCTGTGCCCACTTGGAGAGTCTAATCTTTTATTTCATGTAACTAAATTGATAACAAGAGCTAAATATGTAGTAGCTACACTGCATAATAATTTGTACACTTATGTGATCTTGGAGAGATAAGGCGCTTACCCYGAGTTTCCTCATCTATAGCAGGACAGGGTTGAGGTTGATGGTATCTCAAGCATCCCCCAGTGGCTGAGCACGATGGTGCATGCCTATAATAATCCCAGGGGCTTGGGAGTCTGAGGCAGGAGGATCGTGAGTTCAAAGCTAGCCTCAGGAATTTAACAAGGTCCTTAGCAACTTAGTGAGGCCCTGTCTCTAAATAAAATATAAAAAGGGGCTAGGGATGTGGCTCAGTGGTTAAGTGCCCCTGCATTTAATCCCCCAGTACCAAAAAAAAAAAAAAATCCCCCAGTGTTCCTAGCCTGATTTTTGAAGTAGCCACATCTTTGTAGATTATATTACAAGCAATGTCTCCTTGCTACCAGGCATGTCTGCTGAGCTCCCCAAAGCCAAAACATCCTATTAAGTCATTGTCATATTCAATGCTTGATGCCAGAACAATGGGGGAATCTTTTTGCCTGGGTGTCAATAGATGTGCCTGTGGATGTACAAAACATGATAATAAACCTGATCTCAAAATCAACTGGCTCTCAACTTCTGCCGAACTGATGGCATGTGCATGTCTTGTCACAGAACATCCATGCTGCTTGTCACAGAATTCCTTGTGGTGGTTGTGGTGTGCTTTGGAAGTGCACATACCCCATAATATTAAAATACCTTACACTTACACAGTGCTTTGCAGTTTACAGTTGTTTTCATATCTGTTACTTTATGCAACCCTCTACATCAGTGTTGTTGTTAACATGAGATTCTTTAAAATGGGTATATTAGTAGGGCTAAGAGGGTAACCAGGTCTATCATAATTCTGCAGAGGCATCTTGTATGCCTCCTTGATCAGTGGTAACGTAGCTACCAAGTAATTTGACAGAAAACTGACATCAAGCACTTGAATGAAACACAGACTTATTCCCTATGGGCTGCCTATGCAGCTACAAAGTGATCAAACATCTTTTATATTTTAAATTGGACATCATCTTAATGAGACATCTTATACTGCCTTTTATCTTTACTTCTAAAAGGAAATGCATTTCTGGTGTTCTCTCAGGCCCTAATCATACTCCATTGCTTAGGCATTTTTCCTTACTTTCTTATAGTCTTGATATATATTATTCACAATATATCTCTCTAACATTTATATGAATACAGATAGATTTATACACATGCAGAATATTGCAGTCACATATAAAGACAACCTTGAAATCGGACCTGTGTGTATTAGTTTTCACTTATGGAATGGTTCTCTAAATTATTTGAAARTCTAATAATTTTTTTCTAAAATAATTCCAACAGTCCATTGGTCCTTCTGCCTCTTTAATTCTTAAATCCATATATATAAAGCAAAGAGAGACTTCTAGATGAATTGTAAGCTCATTTACTTTCCAGACGTTGTCTAGCATTTAAACACAGACATCAAAGCAAAGAGCCAATTATCAGAGTTCATTTGGTCTGAAGCCCTGTTGCCTGAATTGCTATAGTTTTCCTTATGCTGAAAAGAAAAATTAGTGTCACATCTTGAAGCTGTAGCCTATAAAACCAYTTCATCTACAGCAGTTGAACTTGAAACATGTGTTTGGGCTCACTAACCACAAGGAGGCATTGAAGCATCTCTTCAAAATGTGAAAAGCAGTTTTATTTTTTAAAAAAAGTCACACCTTATATTGCTGGTTTTATATAATAATGACAGTGCCTGTGAGCATGCATGTCTTTTAAGTTCCTGTCAGGATCYACTCCCCTTGCCCTCCCAAGACCTGAAACATCAGCAGAGAGTGATGCTGTTTTCGTGGAAGATTTTTGGACAGTAGTAATCTGTAGAAGTCTTCCTTCTACTGTTTCCAACAGAAAGGAAGGTAAACTTCAAGACTTTCCTTAGTACTGACAAAGTCATTGTCTTCAATTTTATTGCACTTTGAGAGTTCAAAGTTCTTTTTACTAAGAGCAGAAGCCTATTTCTTTGATATGAGAATTCTTAAAATACAGTAAGGGGTTTATCTGAAATCTGTGTGTCAGTTTAGAATGATTCTGGAATACATCTTCAAAATGCCACACAGGACTCACAAGTTAAAAAGTTGAAACMATTTCTATAACCTGAGCATAATGTTCTTACATGTAGTTTTGAACAGTCATGGTGAAGGTCAGAAATTTTCTCCGTGTTTTTGTAATCCTGATTCTCAGGAGCTTTGTTGGTATTGAAAATAGGAACCTCTCTGTTGCAGGACGTGCTGCTTAGCACATCTCCCAGAATAATGCTTAATCCCCAGAGAAATAAGAGTTGTCTTATTTCTGTGAGATGCTGCAGAGAAGACGTTTTTCCTCAAAATGTGGACCGTGACATTTTAAAATTCTCTTGTGCCATTTTGCTCTATCGTCTTGCTCTTTCTGGGTTTTGACACCTCGTTTGCCTTGTAGGGTATTCCCAGCAGGCGCGAGAAGGTGTCACCGACCTCAACATACAGCAGAACAGGCAACTGGGGCGGCTGTGTGACATCATAGGTACAGTAAATAGTTTTAAACACATGACTCTTTGCAATGTTTGTCAGTGAATATTGATACAATGTTTCTTCTTATTGTTATATATTTTTTCTTCTACAAGGAAAAAGCTTAGGTTTTTAAGCCACTTGTAGGACAATTGAATGTTTCATTTTAAGTAACATCCACAGGGATGTCAACTTGAATAAAAATAAGCATTTTAATCAATTACTTGGGCAGTTTTCTAAATATTTTTTCCTGTAGGTTTAGATGAGAATTTCTCTCCTATATACAAAAATCTTCTTGGTTTACTGAATCCTTGCAAGTGTATGAGACCAAAATTGTATATTTGTGACAATATTGTCTAAGATATTAGCTGAGGAATCACTGGAAGTTGGCATCAGAAATGAAGCATCGTGTTGTCATGGTAAAAATAACAGAGAAATGAAAATAGATTTTTAAAGAGGCTTTTCTGTAAATATAGAGCATTTAATTATTTTTTWAAAATGAAATGCCCAGTGAAGGGAATTCTTAGAAACACAGACCTTGATTAAGTGATGGCTACATCTTTGTAAAGTCAAGTCCTGATATTGGTTTGGTCAGTTCTCAATCAGTGACTTACTTGGRTCCAGGAGAGAAGAATGCATGAATCTGATGACTTTGATTGACACTGGTCAAGGTCAGAGTTCAAGGTAAGCTTAAAAATAGATAGATTGCAAAGCCTAAGCAATAACATCAAGTTGGTTAAGGAGAAACTGGCCAAAGTATTAGRACTAAACAAAARTTAGATCTTTATTAGTTATCAGATAAGAACATCTTTGTTTCGTTAAAATGTAATTGCTTTGGCCCTTATTTAAGCCAAACAAGAAAAAAAATTTAAATTATCAATGACCAACTTAGCTGGCTCCCTGGAATGACATACTTTACATGATTCATATATATTTCAGCATCATTATTATTTTATAAATGCCATTTGGTGACAAAAAGACATCAGTACTAGAAATTTACAGTGTCCTAAAATAATAATAATATAATTGCTTTAATCTATTATCTAGGCACTAATATTGTTTTTCAGCATTACAAAAAAATTTAATGATTTGAGATTGATTTGTTAGTGCTGAACTATTTCAACCAAAAACCTGACTGGATGGAGAGCATGGAAGTGCACCAGAGGGCAGACTTTGCTCTCATTTATTTGAATTAATTTTTTTCTTCAGCTTTTTATATATCTTTCTATATATAGAATGAAGCATCTCTTTACCGAAAGATGTCTTTACAGAAGATTCTCATTACTCGAAAAGACTTGAAAGCATTAGGCTTCTCCTCAAGTTCAGTAATTCAGTCTGTGTCCACCTGAAATGGAAAATTTTTGCTAATACGGACATTTCAGAAGCATTTATGTCTTTTCTCATTACATTACCTTCATGATGCAGCACTGCAATCATGTAATCGCTTCAAGAAGAGTGTTTAGAAGTAGTAAATGAAAGAAAAAGTACTTTCTTAGGAAATAAAAATAGGAAGAAACTAGAAAATTGAGTAATAATTTTGAGGAAGAATAAACATTCTTTTTATTCCATTAGTTGCTRGGAAAAGGTGTTGATTTTTCTGCTTATGAAAGGGAAACAAAGATTTGATCACACTTTTGATACTGACCGTGAAGTCAGGATTGTCAGTCAGGTAGACCCCGTGGATGGGACTTTAAATTCCTAGATGAATAAAGTAAAAGAGTAACTGATTTTGACTATTGGTTAACCATCAAAGCAACTTTCATCTTCGTATCAGCTCCCTTCCATAATTACCTGTCAATCATTGCTGAGCATTGGTAGATTCATGATGAAATCACATTAATACTGGATACTAGAATTAGTGATATGAATTCCTTTGCCAGAAATGAACCAGAAAGGTGAAATTAGCAGCATGATTTTTTATTATTTGTAACCTCAATATTTCTTTCCAAAGAAAACTTATTTAGTTTTCTTCTGGCACAGTCTATAAGTTATTTTTGTGTCCTTTTTTTAATGCTTTTTATTTTTAAATCACCAGTTTGGTTTTAAAATACACTAAATTGATAAGACACTAATTTCTTCTTCAAAACAAAGATTTGAGGTACCTAACTTGATTATTCAGCCACTGGATACAAGTTATTAACTACTGTCTCCTCAGTTAATTTATTGTAAAATTTATGTGGCAACTTGGTTTCAAAATTAAATGGGCCATCCAGGCACAGTGGTGCACTCCTRTAATCCCAGTGGCTCTGGAGGCTGAGGCAGGAGAATCCCACATTTAAAGCCAGCCTCAGTAATTTAGCAAGGCCCTAAACAATTCAGCAAGACCCTGTATCAAAGTAAAACATAAAAAGGGCTGGAGATGTGGCTCAGTGGTTAAGCCCCCTGGTTTCAATCCCAAAATTAAATGGGCCATTTAAATACATGTATGGAGTACTACTTCAAGCCCAGCACTGGGTCAGTTCCCCCTCTCCAGAGGGGGAAATTTGTCCCAATACCATGGGTCTCACTAAGTGACTAAGACATTGTACTTCTCAAATATCTCCATTCTCCCAATCCCTCGGTCACCCCACCTATGGACTTTGCACTATTATCAGGGCTTGGGGGAATATAGGAAAAAGTRTAAACCTTGAATGTAAAGAACCTGGAGAGATTAGTAGATTCTAAACAATAGCAGGGAACAACAGAGGACACTACTTCATAATGCTAATCTTAGGGGCTGATCCAAAGGAGCACAGGTGTGAAGGGATCACTGCTGGCTGGCCTGGTCAGGGTGGGCCATGGAGTAGATCATACACCTATGCCATTTATCGAGCACTTACTATGTACCAGATACAGCACCAGGTGCTTCACATAGATTCTTTCATTTAATACACCCCCAAACTCCATGCCTCAGGTAGTTTTTACTTTCCCATTTTGCAAATGAAGGAACAAATGTTTAGAATGGTTAAATAATGGGCCCAGGGTCCTGGGAAGCTGAGCCAGAATTTAGTCAGCCTATTGTCTGTGTACTTTGCCAAAATGAACAGAGGAGTCTTACAATCCACCGGGGTCCCCCCGCCCAAGGAAGCATTTTCAGTACTCCCTCCTGGAACCTGTCTGAACACCTGGCCTGCCTGCTCCTCCACTATGTTTTGCAGCTCTTTGTATGAAGGGGTTGCTCCTGGAGAGCAGCATCTCTGTCACTTTGATGGCTGGATCCTCTCCATGTCCAGCCAAGTACTTTGTCCCTACTTATATTTATATCCATCAGCTATTTTATGAATGAATGAATAACTCCATTGGCTGCTCATTTCCCATCCATACCCCCTAAAATATTCTGCAGCATGGGGTGAGTAATCTCATCTCACTATTCCATTTGGATGGGATATTTAATTAGGATTTCTTTCTATGTGCATAGTAAGAAGCACATCTTAAGAAAAAGAACAGTTAAATTAAGATGGTGTTTCCTTTAGACCAAGAATCACGAGATGTGCGATTTAAGTAATATACTCCTCTTTGGGAATGAAGCAGAGAAAGGTTGGTTTCTTGAAATAATCATTGCTGTGGTCATAATCAGACCATTTATTTGGACAAGACATTCCCTGAATTGGCCCTGTCAAGTCCAAGTAGAGTAAGAAATTGCAATTTCATCAGCTTTCTAAAGTTAATGGCTGTGTTTTATAATTTGCTGAAGTTAATGGGATAAATTCCCATTGATGTTAATGGGAGTTGTGTAGCTGAATCCCTGTGTATTATTTGAAAGTAGATTTCCAAAGTACCTCACAGTCCTCCTTCCACAGGAAACACTGTATATTTTGTTGTTGGTGGTGTTATTCATATAGAGAAATGCTAGAGTGCAAAAAAAAMCCAAGCTGCCTAGATTGCTAAAATGTGTGCAAAACCAATACAAATTAACTTCATTATGGCTTATGGATATATTTTTTATTTTAAACTGCACATCAATTGGATGCCAGAGTTCATAATGTCATCTACCTTTATACCAGTAATTAACATTGTGCCTGTTGTGTTTTAGATGTCAATGTGAATGTCATCTACATCTGCTCCCATCATATGAACGACGAGTTAGTGCTGTATTACAATAAAATCCTGAGTCTACATGCAGCTGTCAAATCAGGGAACCTTGAGGACAGAAGTGACCTGCAGGACAGGTTCAAAATTATCACCCCTGAAGCTGTAAACTTCTTCCCTGTGAGTTTGTCTTCTAATTACTACGGCTTCAGGGATGCAGTAAAATTAAATTGGAAATTTTATAACTTGCAACGCTCTGGTACACATCAGTGAAATATTATTGCAAGTTTAACAGCTTTACTGATTAGACTACTAGTTGGACTGTAGGAATAAATATCCCAGTTTAACTTTCAGATTTAGTTGAGTTGCCCCTGCCCAGTTTCTGTGTAACCGAAGCCTAATTGCATAGTTATTGGTGGCATCAAAGTAGGTGGATTTACAACATCATCCCTTTTTCTTAGTTTTGTGTGGAGGATGCCAAGGGCAGAGAAAGGCTGGGCCTGCACATGGTCACAAAGCTACATAGGGACAGAATCTTGACAGGATCCCTGTTTTCTGACCTCCACACAGGTGTCCCCACCTCAGAGGAAGTTGAACTGACTTATCATGTCACATGGTACCTAAGAAACAAGGTTCAGATTTATTTTTTTAAATGCACTGATTTTTAATGAATGGAATGAATTCTGAGTGGAATCCATCCTTAGACAAGAGTCTTTGGAAGCTCATGGAACCTCAAGGGTAGGGTTGAAATCAATTCCTCTACATTTTGATATTTAAGCTTTCCACGTTAAACAACCAGTACTTCTCCACCTATTTGACTATCCAATTTTGAGGGGACTTTTTTTGTATAAGTAAAGGCTCTAAATTTTCTGATGAAGGTAGCCCTCTCCATTTACAAAGCTAACACCCACCAGCTGCCAGAAGGAGCTTCTCCAGATCTACTGAAGAGGCTGGAACTCAGAGGGGATTTGTGAGAAGGAGAGTGAGTGAACTAAGGTTTGTTGCAGTCTAATCACAAGTTTTCTCCTTTGGTCCTTAGAGCAATGTAACAGGACTGAAAGGATCACTCTCATTTTATGGCTGTGGTGACCAAGGCTCATTTTCTGGTCTAAGGTTCCTATAGGGCCAGATGTGAATCAATTCTTGCCATCCCAGAACTCTCTCATGACCTGGAATAACTACCTTGCTCCAGAATGGCCCAGTGGCCTTGAGCAAACCTTCACATCTTCAATCTTCATCCATAAGATGAAGTGATGGGTTAGCTAATTCCAAAGTCTTCTCCAACTCTCTAGTCCTGCCCCCTAAGAAATCTCCCCTTACCGTGCACTCTTCGACCTGCAATCAAGAGACAGGCCATCAGCCTAACCCCTGGAGGGGTCTAGTCAGAGTGTACGTTGGCATCTCGGCCAGTAGAAACAAGATCACAAGGCTTTAAGTACCTAATATTTCTTTTCATAGCTTAAATTCAAATTGTTTGAGTAATTAATCACTCATACACAATCAACTTTTTAAAATATAAAAATTAAACTCTCGATTTCAAATCCATTCCTGTGCATAGTTAGCTATAGCTTTATTTCTTTTTAATGGGTTCGAGAGATTGTATCAGTGCTGATTTTCATTCAAATGGATGGCTTTGAGGAGATTTTTTTAAGGCGTGCCAAAAATCTGTTTGTACATCTCTCCAAGTTACTATACAACGCTTGAATTGGTAATGGCAAAATGTGCTCTTATAAAAGTCATCATGTCTATTTTGGGACATTTTAATGCCTATGAAGACATTCTAAACAACTACCTTTTTTTAGGCTAAAAAAAATCAATGGTGATGGATTAAATGGAGCCATAATGTGAGGGAATTAGAAACATTTTAGATTCTTTGTCACAGTCATGTTAATCTGCTGCCGGGATCCAATGATACTGATCTTTTCTAAATGGTCACACAAGACCTGCGGTCAGCAATGTGTCCTCTGCCGTCACTCACTCACATTTGAATCTTTATTGAATGCAATACTGTGACAGCATCTTGCCTGAGGAATACGGCCCACAGATGACTAGCACRTGGAGCTGCAGAGGATACTTGCCAAGAGAAATAAGCAAACCTAGAGGAGACAGAAACCCATCCTGGCTGGAAGTGTGCTCAGAACTTTCCATTAGGTTCTATGGCCACATCTGCTGTCTCCTCTTCACAGCTCATCAACCCTGTAGACCTTCAGCGCTCCTCTGGAAGGCAGGGAACTGTGGCTGCCATGGCATGTCAGCCGTGCTAACTGGGTTCGAATCCTGCTCTGCCGTTAACGAGCTGTGTGACTGGGCAAATCACTTGAGCCCCGATTTCCTTTTTCTCCAAAACAGGGACTGCTGATCACGACAGGATTGTATACGGATCAAAGGAGAGAACAGACACACAGGCCTTGCCCTTGTTAACTCACCAGGACTGGGCCCTAGAGACACCTCCAGGTGCCCCCAAGAAGCTATCGTTGATGTTGTAACTCAAATCAGCAGCTCCCTGGACTATTTATATATTTATTTTTCCTTACATTTCCTCATTGGRATAATTTGTGGGAGAAGGAAAGTARCAAAATAAACAGTGACCAACCAGGGGATCAAATCCCACCAGGTGCTGTCACTAGGCATTGTCCAAGGGAGCACTGAGTTTCCTAGAACTGTACTTTCCGAAGTACATTTTAAAACTGAATTTAAATTATGGTAGAAAAGGCATGTTGCATAGATGGAAGGAGCCTAGAATAAAACTCCTCATCTGGAGGAAGAGTCCATAGGGTAAATCATACAGCTCTTCTCAAAGGAGTCCTGATTTTTTGCTTTTTTGTTGTTGTTGTAAAATATATATAACACACACAAAAAAATATATATATATATAACACAAAATTTACCATCTAACCATCTCTAAGTATACAGTTCGGTGGCATTAAGCACCGAATTTAGATTGTTATGCAACCATCATCCACAGCAGATACTCTGTGCCCACTAAACAATGAGTGAATGACGTGAGAACCTGCTTCTGGAGCAACCTGCCACTTTTACCTCACCACTGCTTCTACCAGCCATTTTCAACTGGCAAGTTTCATACCCATTAAACAAGCACAGAAGAGCTGTGGTTTTAGGGAGGAAGTTATTTCAGAGCTGGAAGAATGCTAGAGACTTCTAGTCCAACCCCTTACTTGAATATAGGAACTGACACTCAGGAAGGCTGAGAGTATTCTAAGTCCCCCAGTTAGTTACAAATTCAGGCAGGATTGAAATCCAGGGGATTTTCCCAGGCCAATTCTCTTTCTCCCACACTCAGAAGTTATTCTGTTTTCTAAGAGTTTGCAAAACAGTGCATTGGATATCCCTGGAAACAGTCACTGAGTATTTCTCCTCATTTTTATGTGGAGAAAAGTAGATAATTTTTCACTAAAATTGAAGTCAGTGCTAGTCTATAAAAGACCTTCGAATTCCCTTAAGAGTATGCCATATTTGCATATATTATCAGTATGACATTTTAATGGCTTTAATTTTAAAAAAGCGTTTTCCCAGTAAAAATAATTACTACCATTTATTGACTATCGACTCAACATCATGCATTGTACCAGGTGTCTTATATCTGTGACCTTACTTAGTCTTAGAGCAACCCCAGGTATGGGTATTTTTGCTCCCCATTTAACACCTGAAGAAATGGGCTAGCAGAGTCTAAATTCATAAAGCTCGTAAGTGAGAGAACTGGATTCAAAGACAGATCTCTTTTGACTCTAACGCCCGATGCTGCTGTGCGTGCCATGCTGCTCTTTTCTAGAAGTAACATGATCTTGGTTCTGGTAGACCCTGCTGAGTAATGTCTTTCTCATGCCCATTTCCACCTGGCAAAATCTTATCCGTACTTCAGAATTGACTCAACTCCAGCTTCTTTCATGATGGCAATACTAGCGAGCGTTCACTAGGTACTTACAAGTGCTTTCCTGCTTTACCTCATTGAATCCTCACAGCATCCCTGTRAGATACCCATTTTACAGATTAGGAAACTGAAGCTCAAGGAGAATGAGTAACTTGCCTTTTCAGCTTTCTCTACCACTGTATGGCCTTTGCCTCTCTCCCCTTATACCTCTGAGGAACTCAGTAGATCCCCATGGTCTCGTTTACCTTGAATTAGTCATGTGTTAAGTATTGTTATTTGTGTCCCACTCCTTGAAAACAGAGAAACATGGCTGTATTAGTTCTGGCGTGTGCTGACCATATGGTTCTGTCCTCTGCCCCTATTAGGCATAGATAGAATGACTTAATTAATTGAATAAGACAGTCACATGCATTGCTGAGCTGGGTCTAACTAGTCAAAATAAAATAAAAAGAATTTGTCATTGGAAAATAAATTTGAGTTTTTCTGGAATTTTCAAATAATTTCTATTCATGAATCCTTTCCAGAACGGTTATCTAGAAACTATTGATACTCACTACAAAGGTGCATATTCTCTGAAATGGACTTTATGATAGAATTGTGGAAAGAGGGTATCAAGTGAAGCCCCTCTTTCCTACTGAAACATTTTTTTAATTGCCAGATTAGGGGTCTGTATAGTGCAGAATATACTATGGGGCTTTTTTCTTCATTTTTTGGTATTGATTTTCTAGACACTTTARTGTTAAACCACACCAGAAGTGTTGCAGAGATGAATCACTATTATCCAAAGGCCGCCAGCCTCTTTTGCTTCTAACAGAAGGATAATTCCACGTGGATCAAATAAATACAGATGTGAAGTAATTAGTTCTATTCCCAGTGAGCCTATTTCTAACACACTAAAGATGTGAGCGATTATGGACCCTCACCCCAACAGCTTTTATCAATTTAAACTGCTGAACAACAGGATAGGTCATAACCCACCCTGCTATTAATAATGTATTTATTATGTGCAACATTATAAATTAGGTRTATGGACTAGAGAAAGGACACCTTCTAACAGGAATAATCTGATCTTCCCCCAGAAGCATCACATGTGCTTGGCCACTCACCTGATGTACAGTCCCAAGGCAATCAAAAGAATAAAGCATCTCATCCAGGGAAGAGAGGCCTACATCGTGGGCGGGTTCCTCCACAGAGATGACTTGGCCGTGGCTGACATGTTAGATGTGCCCATCTTGGGCACRGAGCCTGAACTCGTCCACCTTTACAGCACCAAGTCCGGAAGTAAACGGATCTTTGACAAAGCCAACGTGCCTGTCCCTCCTGGGATATACACCCTCTTTAATTTTCCACAGGTATGTGGGGTCGACCAATAAGGCTCTGTCCAAATATTTCCTAGCCTCTTGATTTTGTGCAAATTCAGGGGATCTGGAGCTAGCCCCACCCAATGAAGAATATGGAAATACTTGAGTGGGTTGGAAGGGATCTACATAGGGCCTTCAAGTTTTAAAGCATCTTCCTATTGGTCCTGTAAAAATTGCTGGGATTTCCAAAATATTTACTCAGTTGGATGAAGACATTGAAGATTCGAATTGTGTATCATTTGGGCTAAWCCACCCTCAATATTTAATACCTTTACATGGATTAGTTCATCACTGTATCACCCAGTCAGCCATGTAGTAGGACCCYACGAGACATGGGAGTCTGTTTTGGCCTACAGAAGCAAGTTTGGGTAGCTCCAGGGAGTGAACCTCACTGCCAGGTCAAGTTGCAGAGTGCAGTAGATAGCCTTGTTCCTGTAAAAAAGCTTTGGTYCCTCCAAAGGGCCCTAAAGAAAAGAGGAGAAAGATCCCACAGAGGTCAAGTGAACTGGCTCTAGGAACAAAACTGCTTYCGGTTTTCCTTTGGACCAGGTCTGCGGCTCTGCATTCTTCCAACACATGGTTAGGTCCCCAAATACTTAGAGAAATACACTAGCCACTGGAAGCATTTTCTCTTTGAGTCAGCCCTGGCAGGTGTTCTCTCATTTAATTGCCATCTGTTATCATAATAAAGAAAATTAAAAAACAAAAGGCCATTAACATTCCTAACCTCTGTTTCAGTCCATCTCTTGACCATCACTCTGAGCCAGTCACAAATTATCTCTCCTACCCGCTTCTAGGAATGCTTCACAATGAGGCAGTTTATGAGGGCCAGTGTTTAGGCTTCTCCTTTCTACTCTCAGTGGCCTGCTCATGATAGCCATTGACCCCCAAATCAAGCTTTCAACAGATCATACTTTGCAGAGACTAGTTTGAAGACACGGTGAACTTATTAAATTGCCCTATAGTGTCTCAGTCTTGCTATAATGTTTCTAGCAATGTGTGGACTCCTGAAGGAAGTGCAGTCTTGCAATGGCATAAGCAATTTTAGTGGAAGTGGGTTGGAGAGGGCCCCTGGGGCTCCCATAGTCTTTGCCTCTACTGGAATTTGAAGATAACAAGGTAGGTTGCTTGACTCTGCTTCCTGGTCAAATTTTTGACTGGTAGACTTAATACAAGCAAAATATACTTTAAAATGACACAAGGTCATGTATGCATGTCACATGAAATGATCTCCAAGGTTTTAAAACGTCTTGTAATATTTATACTGAGTCTTAGCTTCATCTTCACTGATGATGACTCAGGCAGTCTTTGCTCTAACATATTTGAGGGCTTTGTATGTTAATTGTGGTTAAAGATGTAATCACATTTAATGCAGTAAAACCCTGAATACCATTATTCAGAAGTAAGATTAAAAACCTTTCCATAAGCACAGCAGATTTGAGGGATCTTATTCCATCTGTGGTATGTACAGATTGTRTCACAATAAACCAAGTTACAACTGAGTTCTACTCTGTTTGGAAAACATACATCTGAAGTCATCAAGAACTAAAGTACTCCTTTGAGATTTTTCCAGAGAGTGACTACTCTACCTAATYGATCTGAGCGTTTCAGTATTTTGAATCTGCAGATGGTAATGAATCAGTAACACTGACTTTTTACCAATGTGCATCATAAACTTAAAGCTGGTGAAAGAAAGCTGTGATTATTTTATCTTAGGTTAATAAGTATTCCTGAGTATTAGTTGGATTTTTGCAGCAGTCATTTTTCTATTTCTGCTCTTTACTGTATAAAATGAATCACAACTAAAAAAAATTATATATTTTGAACAGATAAACAAAAAATAACAAATGTTTGGAAATAGGATAAATTCATTCAGTTTATGATTAACTTATTATTATTATTATTATTATTATTATTATTATTATTATTTACAAATCTAGCATGTGCACAGAGAGCACTTCCTATTTTGGTCCATAAAGTAACCACGCAAGTTCCCTTTCTGGCATGTGCTTCATATGAAATATCGACAGCTTTGGTTAAATAATCAAAAATGGCAATGCTATTTTAAAGCACTGTTCAATTTTCACTTAAAGATAGCACATAATTCTTTCCAGTGGTGCAGTCTTTACAATACTATTGATTGTTTTCATTACTGTAGGGGATCCATCAAAGGACGCCCATTTATAGGATTCTTAGAAGCGACAAATAATAGGATTTGGAAGAAACAAATAATAATTCTGTTAGTAGTTGAAAGCTCCAAATATACAATATATCCAAATATATGGGGGGAAAACACTATGCCAGAACACCTTTCCTTAGACTAGCAACAGAATTTTATCTGGCACTATGGCCATTTCCACTTTTGCCAAGCATGATCACAATACAGGAAAGTATGACTAAATGTAGAATCTGTCCTCTCCACACATTAGAGAACAAGGGGTGTGATTTTGGAAGACACATTAGAAAAGCTTCCTAGGCTGTGTTCGTTACTGTATGYGTAGACTTGTCATTTGAACACCCAAATCATCCAGAGACTCTACTTGATAATTAGGGAGCTAAGACAATTTCATTGCCAATCTGACTGAACATCCCATATTTGCTTGAGGTTTTAGGGACCCCCAAGTGTGGCCATTTTGCTGTTTCTTCCACACTGCGGTGTCAAGTACCCTCCCCAATAGCACTTGCTGCATAGACACAATTCAAGTGAACAGATTGTGCCTTTAAACAAAATCATTTTGATCTTACAGCTCCAGACTGCAAYAGAACTTATCCATCTTGACTCCTTTCACACTCTTTAGTTTCAAATAAGGTTTCTGAAATCCATTTGGTGAGTGAAGAAAAGGCATCAAGAGAGAGAAGGGTTAAGTGCTGTGGAGAGTTCCAATGCAGGAGCCATTTCCAAGAACAAGGCCAAGCGCCCTTTTGTTGCCTTCTGGGAAGTAGAGACTGGAAAATCTAATGAGAAGATGAGACAAAAATCATTTCATAAGCTAATGAGCTGTTTATAGGACAGTACTACTTATAACTAAGTCATGCTATAGACTTTTGTCTGATTCAAACACACTCCAAATGGCTTATTGACCATAAGCCGAGTTGCTTCTCTGGCTCCTCCTCTGACTTTCTCCACCTTGCCCTTCTCCTGCCCTCTGCACACTGGGGTAGGCAGCACCACGGAGAGGGATCCAGCTTAGGGTTTGGAGTCAGAGCAGCCTGGGAGGAATCCTTGCTCTGCYACTCAGTACTGTGTGATTGTGGGCAAGTTGTTAAATCAAGCAGCCTCTGTTCAGATGCAAAATGGAACTAACAAACAATGATGCCATCCTCATAGGCCATTGTGAGCATTTAATGAGAAAATTCATGTGAAGAACTTTATACAGAGCCAAAGGCCTGTATAAACAGAGTTCAGTAATCTTAGGTATTATTGTTACTGTCGTCATCCTTTTGATTTTAAAGCTTGGGATTCTTTTCTATTCCTAAAACTTCTATGTATTCGAGGTCAGTTCTTGAGGGAATACTTCCAATAAAATGTGGGGTAGTGTATATTCCAGGAAGGCTCCCCTCAGTGTTTCTTCTCCTTCGTCTGTCTTGTTCTGGAATATATGTGTTCATATCATGCAGACAGTAAACTTGGCCAGCCAGACAAATGCATTTCATGTATGATAATGAGGAAAAAATTAAATGTTTTATAGGTTATGGCATTTAAAAGCTCAGCAAAGCTCCAAACAGTTAAAGTTTTCAAGACTATAACTCTTTATAGTCTTCAAACTATAAAAAAAAAATCATTTGAGGAATCAATAAGTAAGCACATAATTCTCTGAAAAARAAAGGAAACAATACCAAGATTCAATTACAGATATTTAAGGGTTTTTTTTTCTTTTGCGTTTCAAAGCCAAACAACATTAATACCCATGTTTTTAGCAGCACAATTTACAATAGCCACACTATGGAACAAGCCTAGGTCCACCAATGGATGAATGGGTAAAGAAAATGTGATGATATACACAATGGAGTTTTATTCAGCCATGAAGAAAAATGAAATTATGTCATTTTCAAAATGGATGGAACTTGAGACCCTTATGTTAAACAAAATAAGCCAGACTCAGAGGTCAAGGGTCGTGTGTTTTCTCTCATAAAGAAGCTAGACAGGAGAAAGGAAAAGAAAGGTTGGGTGTGAAGGGAGGGGTGGCCTCATGAAAATTATAGTCTTCAAACTACTGAGTAGAGGAAAAAAAAGGGAAGGAAGGAGAGAAAGAAAAGGGGAAATACCKGGGAATGATACTGACCAAATTATGTTCTTATGTTGTGTGCATGTATGAATACGTAACAGATCCCACCATAATGGACCACTGTAATACACCAATTAAAAAAAATATGGGGGTGGGGAGCCAACAAAGTGATAATTTGGGAATATCTCATCAACCAGATTTTAGACAAGTTTGGTCTAATTGGCTACGATTTTTCATGACATATATACATTACTTAACATTCTTTAACCTATCTTAATAAGTAGAAGAGAAGCAAATGAACCGACTATGTGAAGAGAAGACACTTGTAGGGTGCCACCACCCGGTTAATATGGTGGGAAGAGTCTCGGGAATGTGCTCTACTAATCGCTGCCCTGTCTTGGCCCCACAGATGATAGAACAGCTGAGCCAGCTGGTGACGGATCACCTGAAAATTCAACGCTGGCTCTTTAAAATGGACTCAGAGTTTGGAGGAAATGGGATGGCATTTTGTGACATTCCTTCCCATCTAAATTGCTACAAGTGGGTGTTAAAGGAGAGTGACAGATACAGCTCTGAAGACTGGAACAAGAAGTGGGCACAGGTAAGTGTTCAGGCTGGCTTAAACCCTAGTGACCATGGACAGTTAGGAGTCACGCAAAGGCTCAGAGAGGAGAGGAAAGTTCTCTCTTCTAGACTCAACTCTGTCACCCATCTACAGGCCATTCTTGTGCCTCTGTGCTTGYATAAAAAATGAAAGGGATTCATTAGGATATTTTAAATATCCTTTRTTTGGACTCTGATAGCCTTTATTCCTATTTTCAAATCAATTATGTAATTAGGAAGTGATTTTTTTTCTTATCTTATTCAGGAACATTACACATCTCACCATTTGCCCTGTGAGGGTCTTGATCGTGTGCTTCTATCAAATGTCGTTATTAAGCTAGCTGTATTTTATTATGAGAWAGAAATTCTATTAGCAAATGGTTGTCACCTGGAAGCTAATGTATAATAGCATTCTGTCATCAGTCATGTTTTTTAAAAACAATCCAAGAAAATTTATGTAATTGCTAATCCCTGCGAGATGCCAAGAAAATAATAGATCCAGTAGAAAATCTCCCGGCAAAACCTGAGTAGTAGGTAAGAGGTCTTAGGATCTGAGTGAAAATGTAAAGATTTTCCATGCACATTGGTAAGATGACCTCTTGGTGTGTTCCAAATTTGTTTAATAATTAGTTTTATATGGTTTAATGTTTAAATTAAACTCACCACTCTAAAAGCGGTTCCATTTTTACGTCACAGAGATCTAGGCTTCCCTGGCTTCTCTTGATCCTACCCCTCCATTTTGGCTGCCCTACTGTTTAAAGCATCACTGATTAGGAACAGTGAGACACAGGTTCCCTTAACTGGTTCCTTCCCTCCTGGTATACCTAACAGTGGGCCGTGAAAAGTGATTTGTATCTGCTTCGAGCATCCCACTACAGAGGGACATGAATCAAGACACAAGTGACGGGAAGGGAGGGCACACTCGAGGGAACCACATTATTCTTGGGAAAGTGAAATGATAGATAAATCTGGAGAACAGTCAGGAGAGAGAGTTCCCTTTGACAAATGTGACGGTTCTCCCTATGATCTATTCTGGGCTCCCCCCCCCCCAGTCAGGGAATGGACTAAATGCAGTACCTGTCATGGCCAGCTTTTTACATATTATTTAAAGGATACCAAAGTGAATTACTCTTCTAGAAAAAAATAAAACAAGGAAAATGTATTTAATTTTGAAGCCCATGGAGGTTTCTCTTATGTTCTCTTTGAATGGGATTTCATTTCACATTATATAGAATTTCCTTCTTAAACAAAACTGTTGAGATTAAACCTTAGAAAATTATGACTGTTTTATTTTTAAAAATTGAGTGTACAGGGACTGGGATTGTGACTCAGTGGCAGAGCACGCACATAGCATGTATGAGGCACTGGGTTTGATTTTCAGCACCACAAATTAATTAATTAATTAATTAATTAAAGGTCCATTGACAATTTTAAAAAAAATTGAGTGTGCAGAGTGTTTGCTGGCCTCAGTATTTCAGAAGAAAAAATTTTAAAGAATTTCCTTGACATTATACTATGATAAACTTGAAATACTTGACTTTAAGAAATATTTACAATACTGACACTCACTGAATTGTACTTAGCAGAATCACTGTACATTATTTAATTTCAATACTTTTAAACATTTAAATTGTCACCAAATACATTTGGCAGCATTGTTAATGTTATTAAGTGTGAAACTCTTGAATATCATTACTAGTCTGTCTAAATCATTTTTTTAAACTTAACAAGGAAAAAAACAATTACTCAAAAATCTTTTTAGTTTTAGGCCAATGCTTAGCCATGATGTGGTGAGTACCCAAAAGTGAAAATAAAAATAAATCAGTTCTAAAGATACATACACACACACACACACACACATATTATATAATATACGAAGATAATATATATGTGTGTTGTGTATATATACATGTATATGTATATGTATGTTGTATATGTATAAATATATATAGTGTGTATACACACACACACACACACACACACACACATGATTATTGACATTCTTTTACCTTCAGAGTGAAATTGCACTGAAGGTGAGGGTGAACTGCAGTTCTCCATTGAGTGTAGCCATGGAGAATTTAGGATTAGAATTCTCCTTTGTTCCAGAAGACCATTGTAATGGTGCACATTTAGACATCAAAGCATTATTTTATGAGCACAGGCATGTTTTAATGTCCTATTACAGTTTGTAGACCTGTTTCTTTTGATAATGAAGACGTTGTGTCATCAAGCCTAGCCTGGCACATACAAAACATATGCTGGCAGGTTATTAAAAATTTCAGCTTCTTGATGAAAGACTATCCTGCAGGCTAAGAGTCCAGAGAAAGACTCCATTCTGGGAGAATTATTAGAAATGAGAATATGACTGTAAGCACTAAATTATGTTAATACTTACAAATAGCATCATTTGCATAGCAGTTTATGATACAATACCATGATTTTTCTCATTGGTATGTTGTAGGCAACAGATTAAAAACAGTGCTGTTTATGGGAGTTTGGGCCGTTTTGAGATTCCCTTGCATCTTATGCAGATATTGGTTTTAGATGTAGACAGGATTCAGTGTAGACTCAAGWATCTAATATAAAGATCATCCTTATWTTTTTTCTACTCTAAATTTGAATTAGTTACTTGGCTGGTTGCAGTTGAGACTTGAAATAAAGTGATGGAGTCAATAGATGCTGCAACACCATAGTCACAGACAAATCAGTACAGCTATGTAGATGTTTTGGGGAAAGCAGAATGTTGCATCATGGCCACAAGGAAAAAGCCAAGTCTTTTTTTTTTTTTTTTTTGTAATTTGGTGCTGAACCTGTTCTCTTCATCTTACTACTTAACAAAACCTACTCCCCTCACAGATTCCAATAAGCTCATTCCTCAAGTGCCCCGTGCTTGTTAAGGTTTAGTGAACCCAAACTTGTGCATACTCCAAACCCTCTGCTCACCAGTTGGGAGTTTTGTTTTCATCTAGTAGGAAAAAAGGTTTAAGCAGAGCAGAAGCCTTCCTGGGTACCTAAGACAGCCTAGGAAGACCTAGGTCTAGGTACACTTACTGTGCTACTTCTCCTTCTTGTAGCTTTTTTCTTTTCTATTTTTTTTCCTTTTTTTTTTTTTAAGAGTAAATCTTCCCTCTCTCAATTCTGGGATATTGGCTTGGTGGCAGGGATCTTCTGGTGACATTGCTCTGTAAAAGATCTTATGAACAGTTCCTTTGAATAAAGAACTAAGCCAGTTTACTTCTTTACCTCAGTTCTGCCACAGAGTCTGGGATGTGGACTTCATGGCTTCGCTATTTCACCACTTAACAAGAAAAAGGAAATTGAACTGGCTCTTGGATGCTGCTATTAAATAAATATTGCTATGTCAGCCTTTTGCAAGAGCAGCTTTACCTTGACTTGTACAGTAGTTTTGGTTTACTTTGTTGGGCGCTGGGTATTACTTTGGAGGTCACCAAAGAGGGGGGAATTAATTCAAGACAGCCCAAACTGAAAAAAAGGTAGAATAAGCCACAGCGGTTGTTTTGTCTTTATATAGAACTGTCAGCAAGCAAAATCCACTGTTTTTGAGTAGAGAACCAATAACCCCTTATGCCTTAGAACTCACTCATCTGCATCTCTGTGTGGAGACCTCCGTCCACTCAGAATGGCCTTGTAACTGAGTCAGARGAGTCATTGTAGGTTGGCTGGGCAAGGCGACCCGTGGAATTTAGGCATTTATTGGGTGATCTCAAAGAACCATTGCCTCATAACCATGTAATCTTAGAAAAGTTAAAAGACAAAATAACAAGATTAAAAAAATATTTAACCAAATAAGTGCACAATCACTTTCCCCAAACATAGTCTTCATTTTTGTGTACCAGATTCCAAACGTGCAGAATCTTTCATAGTAACAATAATARAACATATGCTAATTAAACATCAGATTGTAACCATTCTCCATGTTTATACATAGTCATCACAATTAATGGCTGTATAACATTCCTTTATATAGATGAATTCTAATATATAAAACAATCATTTAATTGAAAATTTAGGTTATTTCTAGCATTTTTTAATATTTTGGTGGAAGAAGAAAAGTTTTGTTTTCACTCTTAGTTTTGATGTGTACCTCTTTTGCTTAAGTTGAATTGCCTCCCTAGAGACCCACAAGTAGCCTGCTTTATTATGAGGAGAACTCTTTACCACTTTCGTTATATGCTGCCATATTTCCAAGATGATGGTGCAAATTTCCAAAGCAAGTAGTGAATAAGCATACTAGCATTACCACAGCCTTACCAGCACTGGATTGCCCTTTTATTTTAGATATTAAAATGTACTTTATAGTCACTATTATTTCATTACTCGCAAGGGATATTCTTTTATCATTATATTTAATAATATTTGTATTTTATATCAGAAACATAACATCTGGTGTTAATAAAATCTAGGTTTTTAGGCTTAAAAAAACCTARAGCACCACTTTTCCTAATCATTAAGCTATAAATAAATKATTTTCATTTATTTTTTATGTTTATTTTTAGATCCTAAAAAATCTTGACTTCTAAACTATCTTTGTGTATTTGGTAGTTGCCTAGCCTACCCGGGGGAGTGCGCATTGTAACAGCCATGAACACTGTTCCGGTCTTGAGGTTTTTCTTTTGTTCAGTATTAAAAATGAACACCTGCGCTTCCTGGGTGCCGGGCACTGTGCTGAACACGGTACAAGAATTATTTCATTCAAACTCAGGAATACCTTKAGGTTTTACTCATTTATTCTCACACCAATTTGACAAGGAAGGTATCRCCCTTTTTTCAGGGGGAGACACATGCCCAGGAAGCCAATGGCTTGCCCAGTTTCATATGGCTGACAAGTGATTGTGTCTGGCTGGGGACCCACATCTAACTCCCAGCCCAATGCTCTTGCCACACCCAGTCAAAACATTTAGAAGAGACCCTCTTGTTTGGGAGCCTCCAGAGAAGTATTCCCCRTAGGATAGGTCCTTGCCTTTGTGACCTGAACCA